CACAAACGTTGCCTTTAAAACAGGTACCCCTACTCAGAATTGTCAAAACATGTTCTTGAGTGTAATATTTGTGTACTTTTGCATGGCACCTTAGTTATCTTAACTCAGAGAGATGACTACAAACGATTAGTAAAAGAGTTTCTCACTGTCAATAATCATGCTAGTGCAGTTAATACCCCGGCCCTCAGTTTAGATACAGAGTTAGGAAGATTAATACAAATCTGATCGCCTTGTTTTGTTTTGAACAAGGTCAACCACAAACCTATCTGTTAGCATGTTCCTTTTGTTAGCCATAACAGCATAACTTTTTTTTTAATTTGTGTTTGTTTTTATGTTTTTTTGTTTTGTTTTTTCCTCGAGGTTCTGCCCACGATCCTGCTGCTTTGTCCCCAGCCGTTAACGTTTTTGTGTCCATTGGGTCTTGTGTTTGTTTGGGTGTTTAGAAGTTCGGGGTTTTTGGCGCACGGTCCTCTTGATTTGTTCCTACAAAGGCGGGGTTCTAGCGTTCTTTGTTTGTCTTAGCAGGACGTTCGAGTGAAATAATTAAGGTTCAACCCAACCTCTTTCGGCTTTGTGCCAAGTCCTTTGTGGTCTTATGCGTTTGTGTAAAGAGTGTTCTCACTTTCCTTCTCTTTTCTTTTGGTTTGGGGAGGCAGTAAACTTCTATATAAACACGAACTTTTGTGGAACAAAAATCAGATGTGTTTGAGGCCCTGGGTGTTGTACGTATTGTCCTTTGTCGCTTCCCCAGTCTCGGGGGTTTGTTTAAAATTATGCAAGACCTTCTCGAGCAGCTTTCTGCCGAAATTTTGGGGAAACTGAATTGGTTTATCACGTGACCAGGAAGGGGGAGGGGGCGGGAAGGCAAGAGGGGAGGGAGGAGCTAGGGAGGGCATTGTAGAAGGGGGCAGGAATGAGGAGGATAGACGAAGGGGGAGAGGGGGAAGGAGGGGCAGAGACAGATGAGGAGGGAGAGGGGAGGGGGCCCACAGCAGGAGAATGGGGTAGCGATGAGGAGAAAAAGGAAGAGGAAGGGAGGAGGGAAGAGAGAGAGTGGAAGGGTGCAGGGAGGGCGAGGGAGGGAAGGGAAGAATGGGAAGACAACGGGAGGGCCGGGGAGGGGAGAAAAAAAAGGGGAAGGGGAGAGAGAGAGGGAGGGGAAGGGAGGAGTGAAATAGAGAATTGGTGTGTCGCGTGACGTACGTTTCCCCGCCAAAATTACCGGGCAAGCTGAATATTTGTAAAACTTTAGGTGACATCAGCTCACGTGCCGTCGATTTCGCCTACGAAATGTAGCGGGAAAACTGGTGTTTAGCTCATGTCAATTTCCCCGCTATATTTAGCATGGAAACTAAATTGTATAGGTCACGTGGATTAGATTTTTCCACAAAACTTTAGCGGGGAAACAGAATTGGTGTTTAGGTCATGACGTTAACTTCTCCGCTAAATTTCCCGGACAAACTAAATAGGGAGTTTTCGTAGACCGCGCTGCCTCCTCCGCTAAGCGTTCCGCAACGAAGAAGTTGATACTGCGCCTGCGCGCCGATAGCCTTGACTATGGAGTTCCCGCTATCATAGCGGGTTGCGGAGGGCCTTGCGGGACGGCGAAAACGATCTACGAAAACTCCCTAATAAACGTGTACGTCTCGAGACGTCCATTTCCCCGCTAAATTTGGCGAAAAATGCACGGACGGATGGACAGACGGACGGACGGACGGACAAAATCTTGAGATTGGCGGTAGCGTTAAAAAGCCTTTTATGCCTGACATTAATAGTGGTTTAAAACGCTATTGTAAAGACCAGCAAATTTTAATATAAAATTCTGCCAACAGTCGAACCAGAAATAGAGCCTCTTCAATCCAAGAAAAAAACGTTTCAAAATTGAACTTAATATATAGCAGACAGAGGAAAAATGTAATCCATTACATTTTTCAAGTAACGGGCACAAGTCTGCTGGTATATTATGTGACAGATTATGTGATTCGTTAAGAACGAGAGAGAAGATAGCCTGGTTGTTCAGTCGAAAGCATCGGCGCTTTGATATTGTGCTAGAGTGAAACTATTCAACTGTTCTACGTCATACTGACTAAACTTTAATTCGTCAATAGTGCGATCAAATTTAACAAACATCATTCACGGGTTTTTTCAGCGGTAAGTAAGCATCAAAGGAATTTGCTCAAACTGATAACAAGGCCACCCAGTCTTTGTTACAATCACTGCCCCCCTCGCTCCCCCCCCCCCCTTTTTTTTTTAATTGAACATCATTTGGGAAGAAAACAAAAAGACATGTGATAACCATGGTTAATTGTTCCGGCTACTAATTTGTGCTAGGAAGTGCGATGGGAAGATTGAAAGAAAAAAGACAATAAAGAAGGAAAGCAACAAATAGAAGTACTAAATGTTACAAGAAGTGCATAATATGAAACTTGCTTTGTCCGCGAAGCGCGAGGTTTGTTTCCTAGAAGCAGATGTTCAGAAGGGTTCGCCTTAGTAAATAGGCAAGTGCTTTTGCGGCTTTGGATTATGTGGTTCGTCCCAGGTACCAAGCATCTTTGCCACAGAGAACGGTGGGCAATCGAAGCATTGCTACTGTGCTTTCGTACTTCCGTCTCTCTGCATTCTTGATGGAACCGTCGCACAAGATACGAATAATTATTCCAGTAGAGTCACATCTTGAGTACTCTTATGTCGTGACTGTCTAGTCCAGTGAAAGAATCGCGGCGTATATACTCAGCTGCCTTAGTGCCTTAGTCTATGTACGACTGCCTCCATCTGCTTTGGCACGTTGTGTGGGACGTTGAATAAAAGATGCGTGCCTTATGTATAGCGAGGTGCGTACTGATATGAAGCAGTATGCCACAATCTTCCGGTTTTCGCTGATGGCATGGTGATTGATTGAAGAACGCGTGCCAGGTAGTTGGTGCCTAATCATGAGGAATGTAGGTATACTGAACTGATTTTTTTATGCTTGACGACTGACCTTTGTAGATGACGCCATCTTCTAAACTTATACAAAGCTGTTTTTTTTCTTATTTTTTGGCAATGACTTTACAGCTTTACAAACTTTTTTAACATTTGCAATAAATATACCGCCAGTGGCGGCGCACTGTAAACACGGCTATATTGTTCTTGAATGGCTATACGAGTAAGGAAAAATAACCAAATGCATATATATTGTGTTTATGGATAAAAATAACGAACAGGTGGGTGAGCTGGTGAACGTTCTTTGTTAATAAAGCCTGAGATAAAGCAAACAAGGAAGATTTAAAAAAAAAAACACAAACAAAGCTTTCAGTAAAGTTCCAGTTTACATTTTTTTTTCTCAATTTTCGGGAAAATAAATTAAGCATCGCAGAAAACTCCAACTTTTTGAGAATGTGACGCTGGTGGTTGGGATAGAACGCGAACGTTTAAGAATATGACGTAACTTCGATGAAAAGATAACTTAAAAAACAAAACTTCTTTACTAGCCGACGTTCAACAAAGCCTTATATCGTCAAAAAAAAATTACACTGTGGGCGCCTCTAATATCTATTTCTGTGAAACAAGAAAAAACATTCTCAGCAAGAAAGAAAAAAATTCTTCTATTTCTCGCTGAGAGCTTGTTTTCACTGAAATAGATGAAATAGACGCAGTGTTATTTTTTGTTTTAACATTATTAGGCTTAGTTGGATGTCGGCTCATAAGAAAATTTCGTTTTCTTTAAATTATATTTTGATCTAAATAACGTAATGTTCTCAAAGTTTTGCGTTCTGTCCCAACCGCCAGCGTCACATTCTTAAGGAGTTCGAGTTTTCTGCAATGCATAGTTTATTTACCCGGGCCGAAAAACACGGTTCTCGTTTCTCGGAAACTAACTGCATTAGTCTTTGAAATCACTTTCTTTTTAAACAAAAATACATTGTCTAAAATTGAACAAAAATACTTTAGCTTCGGTCTAGCCCTACCGAAAAATCCGGTATAACTTTTCGCTATCCGGATTATGGAAACGGAAATTTACCTGGATTCTATCTGGACTCTAACTGGATTTTAGGTTTTCATAAATTATTCCTTTGTCTGCAATCTGGATTTCGGGTTTCCAGAAACAAATTTCCGGTTTCATAATCCGGATAGTGAAAAATTATACCGGATTTTTTGGTAGGGAGATTTTAAAATAAAAACCACATTAATAAAAAAATGAAATAAGCTTTAATGTTTCTTTAGAATACCTGGATACAAATTTAAATAAAAAAACTCCACAAAGAAAAGAAGCACCGAAAATTACAACGGTATTGATATAAATTAGATGAAGTTCATTTCTGAAAAATTACGTCATATTGAGTAGGCTACACATAGAGAGGAGAGGAGGAGATGCAGCGTGAGGCCACGTCAAAGCTCCGAGCTCTGATTGGAAGGATTAAGCGGTAGACATAAAGGCTAGCTGCCTTTGACTTTGCCCACCATCTCCCTCATATCAGAGCGAACAAGAGCATCGTTTGTCCGTCGCGCAGTGTCTGGCCTTTGAACGCGAAACCCCAGACCCTGTCCGAGAGGAAGAACACGATTGTGTTCGCTCTGAATGCAGAAATACAGTGGGTTACTCGCCTCACGCTTCCATCTCATTCATTTGCTGCTTTCCCTCAATATCTCACCGGTTATCTACAATAGACGACACTAAAATTACCGGTTTCGGCGTGGCCATAACGCTTAATAAAATCTATATCTTGTTTCAAATACAATAAGCTTAAGTCCATTGTCGTGTTGTTTCATTCCGTTCCAAACGAGTTATTATTACGCAATGTGAGCTTCAGGAACTGTGCGGGGGTCAGTCAGAATATACTTAGAGTCTCCAAAGACACTTCCAGTGGGCGTCATTTTCTCGAAATGAGACGGCTCTCTACCGTAGTCCAACCATTACCGGAACGACAGCAGGTGCGGTCGAAATAAAAAAAGACACGAAGAACTACGCGCACTGCAAGTGCACAAACGATAACGCTTTCTTCGGAATGGGCGTTTCGAGCGTTATGTCAACGACAGAGCTTTGGTCGCTACACGAAACTTCCTTTTATACAATTTGTGTGTGTGTGTGTGTGTGGGAAGAAGCAAGGTTTTGATGATGATGCCATATGATGGCCCAAGCAGCGTTTTTGGGTACGTGTGGAGTTGCAGATGCGTTTTTACCTTTTCTGGGGCTGTCGTTCTATATGGTAAAACAAGTTTCGTTCTTGCTCTCAGTACAAAGAATGCTTTACGGCGATTGTGTTCTGACTTTTTATCATTCACTCTTCATTGCTTGGTCAAGTAGCGGGACGAGCCCGGAATTGTGCTCAAAACTAAATCAGCCGATGAAAAAAAAAAAAAAAAAAAAGACGAACACAATTGAGAGGGGTAGATTATTGAAGGCTATTCTGTATTAATAGAAAGGAGCAGGTAATAGCGTTACTGCTCCTTTCAATTTACAGCGTGACAAAAAATAATCATCTTTTCGTTTATAGAACTCAGAGTTTAATGTGATTTGTTGGTATATTTATGGAAGAGATTTTCGCTGTTCTTTTTTGTTACATTGGCAATAAAATGTACGCGCGCCTACATGTGATGCGTTTGTCCAGCCAACAGTAATGAAATTTCCTGACTATTTCACATCGTCCAGCTGCACTTCCATTCACTTTTTATGTAAACTCAAACTTCGCCAACATTTGAAAAAAAAAAGAAAAGAAAAACATCTCTTTTGGGAGTCACACCACTCAACCAGAACAGTCATGACAACAGTGTCTGCTTGGAATAGTCAGCATTGATTGCCGGTGCCTCGTGGGGGTCATCCATCACCAGGATTCCCTGACAGCGTCCCAGAAGATGGATGCCATGATTTTTTCGGCGGATTCCGGCACCTAGAAGTAGTTATGACGTTCTTGAAGTAAAACGTCTAAGGAAAGAGACAAAAGAAAAGCGATGCTAACACACGACGTTAGCATGACGTGGCGAGCTGGAAAGTTTCCACTGTTTTGAGTGTTCGCACATACTGTCAGAGCACAACACCTCATCCACAAATAAATCGTGGCATAGATATTTAAAAAATGTTGCTCAACTATTCAAAAAAAAAAAAAATCTTCCGGTTCTTAACTGTGGATTCTTTAGATGTGGACGCAAGACCTTTCATCCAACCCTCGTATATGTTGACGGCGCTTAAATTCCAGTAAATCATTTGAAAAAAAAACAAAAAAAAACTAGAGCCAGTCGTTAGTTTCTGTGCGTCTAGTACGACCCTGACCTGTTCGGGTTTGGTGTAGATCGTTGTGTCAAACAAAACAAAATCAACTTTTTAGGGACGCAATCCGTAATCACTCGAAATTTTGTTTTCTTTTGCAAAGGGGGGTGGGGGGTGGGTAGGGGGTGTTCCTTACACTTTTCCGCAAGGCTATTTGTTTACAAATATATTATGCAGTGAGTTGATGACACTGTACCTTAAAAAATTACGTGAAATAAAGTTTTGGGGGTCTTATATGTCTAACCAACGACATGCATCTGGCACACCCCAGCCAGCGAAGGGATGTGGATTTTTTAAAATAAGCTGGACATTTTTGGCGAGCAACGAAAATCTCAATGACGTCGCTCCTTCAGCGCGCGCAATTGAGCCTCCCTGATATTGCGCGCTGGCACTCCAGTCACACTATATAAACCCACGCAGTGGGGATACGCAGGTCGGCCCTTCTCCGCAAAGCCGCCGAGGACTCGATCGCGTAGGAGGTGGCTGATAAGTTTTATTTTAGGTCTCTGCTTATTCTCTCTCTGCCAGCACGTGTGCTTTTTCTCATGGGGAGGTGGGGCACGTGCTTACGATTCCTTATAGAGAACCAACGCTCTACTAAGAAAATTCGTTTTTTTTTATTGATCAGATTTATTTGAAATAAATAAGATTAATTTATTTATACGACCTTAGCTATATAATAGTCACTCTTTCTTAATACATGTAGTTTTATACTAAGCAGATTGAACGATCCGTCCGGTCACTGATAACAATGAGGAAGGAAGAAGTATTGTACATTTAAAGTATAGTTTAATAAACGACCTTTATTGGTGTAACGCCCACTATACTAGTGAAAAATAGCTTGATTCTTTTTAGTTACCTAAAAAGGTTTATATGATTTTTCATTAGAATTTTATTTGAATTTAATCACGCATCAATTTTGTAGTTTTTGCGTTTTGATCTGCTTTAAATAGGACGTTACCTAACTGAAGAACAAAGTGGAAAGCAGAACTGCTCTGGCTCGTGTTTAGCCTGGTATAAGTATTTCTTGCTTGATGATCTTTAGATTTCATTACTACAACAAAAAAAAAAGGCACACAGAAAACATCAAATCATAGACGAATGTAAATAAAATCTACATTCGAAATGGTTTTTGCGGGAAAAAGCTTAAATTATTTCATCACAGTAAAACTTGTCTGATATAAATCTCGGTATAATTTCTTATTAAATTCAAGTTATCTTGATTTTTATTATTTACCTTGCTTGTACTCTAGCGACAGATCTACGCCATTCTGATGTTTAAAAGTGAAAGTATGTACTATAATTATGATCAAGTATGTATTCTACAAATTTGTTTTTTCTTCTCTGCAAAAAAAACCACACTAAAATGAAAAAGTGAAAGCTGCTTACAACTCCCTGTAACGCCGAATTAGAGCGCAGCTCTTGAGGAGGAGGAGGGAAGGGCACTGGGGGGGGGGTTAAACTAACCAGGGGGGGTCACGTAACCTTGGGGGTCACGTGACCCCCAATGCTGATGATGTCATCACTGACGTCACTGATGACGTCATCAGTGACGATGACGATGCGGGTACCGATGACGTCATTAGTGACGTCACTGATGACTTCACCAGTGATGATGACGATGACGATGCGAATGTCGGTGACGTCATCAGTGATGATGACGATGACGATGCGGATGTCGGTAACGTCATCAGGGATGATGACGATGACGATGCGGATGCCGGTGACGTCATCAGTGATGATGACAATGACGATGCGGATGCCGGTGACGTCATCAGTGACGATGACGATGACGATGTGGATGCCGGTGACGACATCAGTAACGTCACTGATGACGTCATCAGTGATGATGACGATGACGATGCGGATGTCGGTAACGTCATCAGTGATGATGACGATGACGATGCGGATGCCGGTGACGTCATCAGTGATGATGACGATGACGATGTGGATGCCGGTGACGTCATCAGTGATGATGACGATGACGATGTGGATGCCGGTGATGTCATCAGTGATGATGACGATGACGATGTGGATGCCGGTGACGTCACCAGTGACGATGACGTCATTGAGAGGTCACGCGACATCGGCGGGGGTCACGTGACCTCAGGGGAGTCACGTGACTTCGGGGGGTCACGTGACCTCGGGGGGGTCACGTGCCCCCCACGATGTCACGTGACCCCGGTGGGGGGCTCGCGCGGTGCATTATGGGACATTTCCCATGATGCACCGGGGTCACGTGACCTCGGGGGGGTCACGTGCCCCCCCACGAGGTCACGTGACCCCGGTGGGGGGCTCGCGCGGTGCATTATGGGACATTTCCCATGATGCACCGCGCGGTTACGCCGACGGCGACGGCGACGCCGCTCAAGCCGGAAACAAGCCCCTAAAAGCTGCGCTATAAAAAAAAAAAAAAAAAAATTAAGGTGCTTAAAAAGGAACACATATTCTTTTCTTGTTTCCTAAAAAGCACAACATTTAAACAATATTTATTACGCTAATCGCAATTCGGGTGGAGCTCTTCACCCGCTCTAGGCCCCGCTCAAAGAACGGTGGAGGCTGCGGTTCCGTGGTCCCCGCCCATTGCTACTGGATTGGCTTGGCTGTTCGGCTGAGCACGTTCACAAGCAAAGTCTCCCTGTCGCGACGTCCGGTGCGTCTAGTCTGCCGTCTGACACCGCCATCAAGTCGTGCGGGTAGACGCGCGACAGTGTACGGCGCCGTCTGCTGTATTAGAAGATACCCTGCGACTCTAATGCACGCCATTCAGGGAACGCCCGTAAGACGCCGCCATGAAAGCGGCGCGTCCGCGTTCACCACGGTGATAGGAAGCTTCTGGGGGAGACATGACGCCACCAGAGGTGAAGCCAGGGAAGACTTCCGGTTTGAAGGGACACGCTGCATACGATGGCCTAAACCAAAAGACGCTGTTGGACGAAAAGGAGAGCTCATTAGGCGCTAACAGCTGTTTTGGCCATCCTTGGGGCAGTTCTAGAGTTCCTGTATATAGCTACCCTTACCAAAAAGAGGCCGTACTTCAAACGAAATTGAAATATATTTAGTATGAATATTTATTTTGTATTTATTCTGTATTATTTTGGCCGCATTCGAAATACGCTTGTAAGGTATTCAAAATACATTGTAAATTCGAATAAAAAAATATTTTAGATATACCAAAAATATTATCCCTTCACACTCAAGATGCCATGTGCATTAAAAACCAGTTACACAATTTTTTTTTTATTTTCGGTTTTGTCAGCAAATGGTGTCCCTGTGGTATTTGAAGGCACTACTAAATACATCTCACAAAGCTAAATTAGAAACGAACACAAACACAAACACCATGACGCACTGAACAGCTCATTTACAGTCCCGTTGACTGCTCTAGAGCCTTATATAGCCTACATATTGAAGGTAATCATTTTTTCGGTGACCAGCTCTGCGCTTATTAAGGTTCCAAGTATTCGATATTCTCCTCGGGAGTCTGTCAAAGGGGAAACAGTGTTTTGAAGTTCCTGGACGATATCTCTTACTAAAAGGCATTGGTACAACAAATAACAATTCGGCGCAGTCCCTAAAACAATATCCACACGAACGGCTCATAAAATACATGTTATTGCTTCTCTGCGTAGCAGCACTCAGGACGAAGCGAATCAAGGCAGTTTCTTCACTTTAAAATACTGTAAACAACTTTATTTTCGTGAGGACCTAATACTCGCAAAGTTCACGAATCTCCTATAATTCCGAAAAACAGGTCCCGTGAAAAATTCCGGCAAAATGTAAAACATTAAAATCTCTATTGCGATCCCAGCGAGTCGCGAAAATTAGAATTTGCGAATTATTCCAAAACTCCAACTTTGGCCTAAATCACGAAATATTGAGCCCG